TTTAACATACAAATTATGTATCAACATATTAACATAGATCATGGTATAGAAAATGGAAGCAGAGAGACTCCCACACGAACTCCAACTGTGGTTTTTAACATATGGAAGTTCATACACATAATTCCAGTTCATTTTTTTTAAACTAATCGTTTTAGTGCGAGTAGATTTAATGCATACATTTGACTTATTTTTTACTATAATAGCAGTGTATTTATGTATTCACACGTTCGTTTTCATACTGATATTTCCGCACATAAAATAGCAAAACACACTATATATAAACATTAGATAAGAGCGGAAAATACCACTGCATAACCCATCATATTCTGCTGACTTCCCACAGGCTAATTAAGAAATACCTACGCGAAAACATCGAAACGTGTTCAAGTATTGTAAGTTGTAACGTATAGTCTCGACTGTTCAAAGTATGCTGATAAGGCAAAAACTAATTTTGACGTGTAATATATCAAAGGCTACGTTCATTTATTTGATTACCTTAATCACATTTCAGATAAGTGGATAAACCTTCAAAGCGTAAGAATTTTTAATACAGCTTAGATTTATACAACCCGTCGTGGGTTGTATTTGAATATCGCATGGGTAAACAGATCCGGAGTAAAGGAAAAGTATATGTTAAATATGCGTGGTAAAAAAAATCTAAATTGATTTATATATATATATATGTATATATATTCTTATCTATATATCTCTCCTTTTATTTGTAACTGTACACTTATAGACGTCAATATACTGTATAAAAAATTAAAAATCTAAATATTTACGATCAGTTCAAATTAAGGGCGTAAAACTGGCAAGAATCTCGCCGCCACTCTTTTAATCACTGCTTTGGGCTTACATGAGATTTGTAAGGAACTGCTACCATCAAACCACGCGTCACTTCACATTATGATAATATTAAACTGTGTACATAGTTTATCAAACACACCGTAGAACCAAATGTTTGCTTGCTTATCTGCAAAGCAGTTCATTCCTGTTTGCTGGCAATTAGCCACCTAAAAATGAGCAAATACAGATTTCAAATTATAAAAAAGACGCGATTTATTGTTAAAATATTATACAAGAATAAGAAGAATAACATTATATTGATAATACAGCAATCAGATGGAATTTATAAGTAAATTCCTCTGCTATTTATAGGGGTTTTTATCTGTTATCTGTTGTTGGTGTTATTAACCAATATTGAAACCACTGTGAATTATGGTTAACAATATAGACTGACGTGACCCTTATATTATTTGATAAATAGTTTACTTCAAAAATAATATCTAAAGGAGGATAAGCAACATGTGTGATAAGCGTGTTAAAAAATACAACTTTAAGGACAAATATTACCTATTAATATTATTTATTTTTAGGCATTAGGCCTTATGATGTGCTAAAAATAAGTTATGTAAGTTTTCAAAAGGAACTTGTAATATGCATGTTAGACATATGATAAGCCATTCGTATGAAGTATAATGAAAGACCTGATTCAACCTTTATGAATAAAATACAACAATTGATGCATTGTCCATTTAAAGGTATAATGGTTGTTAAGCACTGATATTATTATACAATTTTACTATGACATTATGATTATTATAATACATTTGAAAAGAGGTATAGCAATGGCATAACAAGTCTATTGTTACTAAAATTTATATATTTATTGTATGCTTTATATATATATAAGGAAGGTTTTAACACAATAGAGATGTCATGTTTTCTTGTTCGCTTCTTCATGAGTTTTTAGTTAACCTATCTGAAGAAAATAGTCTGGATTCTTGCATGCATTTTGTCATTTATAAATATTATATACTGATTTGATATATAGATTTTATATACCAATCCAAAAACCATATAGGGTTTACAAAATATGATTTTAGGTCTGTTTCTTTCCTTGTTAAAAAAAAGTAAATTCCAATTGGATCATTGCATAAACAATGAAAACCTTAAAGTTTTTTTAATGACTTATAGACTTTATATAAATAAACAAACAGAAGTAGGATGCCAAACAATCACTAAGATTAGAACTGAGTTGAGTATTAATGTAAAGTAACTAAGATATGTATTTAACTAGAGGCAAAGCTTGTTACAATGATATAATCAATTAAAATTTTAGTAAATTAATAATACTTTTGACCATAACACCACATTACCACAGCATAATTACAATACTTTTTATGATGCATTTAGTATGGTAGTGTTAGTAACAAATGTGAAAATAAAATACGACTCATTGGTCTAGTGGTTAGTACCCCTGACTGCGAATCCATGGGTCCCGGGTTCGATCCCCGGCTGAGACGAACATTGATGTGATGAGCATTAGGTGTTGTGCTTAGGTCTTGGGTGTTTAAATATGTATTTATACGTCTATCTATCTATAATATGTATGTATATCCGTTGCCTAGTACCCATAACACAAGCTTCACCAGCTTAGCATGGGACTAGGTCAATTGGTATGAATTGTCTTTAAAAAAAAAAAAAATAATATTTAAACAAGTGCAGAAATAGATATATACCGAATGCCTCAGAGTTAGTGTAATCATACCATTTTTTTGAGCAATGTTTAAGAATGCAGCACATCAATTAATATGGGTGATATGTATAACAGTAGCACAGATAAGTTCCATTATCAGTTATTTATTATTGTATAATGTGCAACACATGTCATGTTATCTTTATTGGTACTCATAAGTAATAATAGTAAATTTTATAAGAATTTATGAAATTATGAATTTTAGATTATTTACTATTATAATTCATAATAGTGATTTAAGAAAAGAAAGCAAAATTAAATATCTGAACAAAATGTACTTAATTTATTTATTAATATTATAATAACTAGGTATAACATTTGTAATATTATACACAATTATAATATTATAGTCAATGCAAAGGCAAATTTCTTAATATGAAGCTTAATTCTTTTAAGTAATTATAGATACATAAATATCTTTAAGACAAACTTGCTTTGTGTATCAGACATTAATTGGTATCAACACAAATAAATTTGTTGGGTTGTCTGGTTGTTAAATATAAAAAACAACACAGATTTTTTAAATGTTATGGTTGATGAAACAATTGTATTAAAATAAGTTGCATTCTTCAGTGAAAAAATATTGAAGAAGTATTTTATAAATTTTGAAAGAGTGAATATTCTGCAGTAAATAAAGATGTTCCTTTATTTTATGTTTAAGTAAGTACATTATGAAGTTATGTGGGTAAAGGTGATGGTAGGTAGTTAGCTTTTTGTTTTATGTAGCAGCACTTCCTAAAGCTAGAAGTTGTTTAACACACTTTGACGTTAATTAAAAGTGTATATTTACAATACAAGTTTGTAAGTTATCATTCTCAGCGTTTAGATAAATCATGACAGAAAAAATCTTACCTGTGCCTGCGAAGTGTTAATGAAAACCACAAAATATTTATTCAAAAATAAACACACAAATGTTTTAATGAAACACAATTATCACTTTCCTCGCATAACCACAATATATACCTACTCTATCGAATAATCCTAAATCGAAAGTTCTATTTTTATTTATGGTTTGTAATTACAAAACAAGAATATGTTGGAAACTGTTCAATGTAAATTTCAATAAAAGTTTTTGATAACCTCTCGAAGATTGTCATTAAACCCGAAACACAAAGTTGGCGTAGATTTTAAAATAAAACAGCAATTCATTCTTCATAGCAATCAACTGCATATAAAATCACAAAATAAATTGACCAGTGAAACTGAAATCAACATTCAACAATCAGCGAATTTAAAACACTGTATTGCACCTCTGTCATCGTGTCGACTGTCAGTCATCAGTTCACTACTGACAGAAAATATGTATATCTACGACTTACGACGATATTCTCACAGATTAAAAAACTACAATCGTTTCCATTCATAGTAATATCATTGTTATCTTATGTATATACTATTAGTATATATTATGCATATTTTTTACACTCACGTACAGAACACTAAACAATTTAACTTAATAGGAGCTCAGAACTCTTCTTAAAGAACTTTCTTAGAGTGTCACTAATTAAAAACTGAGTGTATTTTATGAACACCCTACTTTGATTAGTTACAGTTATAATAGTGTTGAATAAAATGTGATACAATATGTGAGGTGGCGGCGGAAATGTTTTAACGGTATCTAAACAATACTCATTTGATCCGATAGATAGATATTATATTATCTGTTATACCGGTAGCAAAATTTAAAAAAATGAATAAACTGTAATTTTAACTTTAAGTTTCGTTCAAGAAACTAATAATTAGCTTGTTCCTGCTAATTAAATCCTTTGCTTTGCTTTCATCAGGTAAACAATTTATTCTATAACTGAGACGTCTATAGTAAAATCATATATTGGTTCATTGATAAATTTGTAAAACCATGAGCCGTCGGGAGCGTCGAAGACCAGTCACTTTCCGAGGGGTTGATCCCTGGCGTTGCGTGAAACTCATAGGTTGTCGAGTCAGAATACGAAATTCCACACGTATCACCTCCACGTTCGTCTTTACAGAACGCTTTTTAAGGCACTGTTTGCCAGGCACTACCACTATGTGGAAAAAGCTACCCACTGAAGTATATCCAAACCAATTTGACAGGATAGGATCCTTCGAGATAAGAGCGTAGGTACCTATTCCTAAAAGGTCAGCGACGCACTTGCGAATTTTAGCAGTGTGAATGTACATAAGCGGCGTATTCATTTGATATCCCTTTTTCCTTTCTATAAAAAGATCAAAACAGTTACCTTCGGATTGGACAAAAAACAAATATTGAAAATTGCATCACAATACAATTCATACTTAAGAATAAAACTAATTAATAAAATAACATTTTGTATATTTCCTTATTTCAAATTTTGTTGTGTACAATCAGAAGTATATAAATGGGTCTTCAAAATCACTACAGCGACATTTTTCATAATTTCCAAAAAAGAAAAATAGATTATAATTTAATATCATAATTTATAAAATAGGCTTTAAAATTTAGTTAATCTAATTTAACGTCCATGGGCGTGACTTTCAGACGTTCAGCCATTGCTGCGCTTGTCTCGATTTGCTGCTTCACGTATGAAACAGTCCCTCGTTCGTCTGTTGCCTTTGCCGCTCTCTTTTCCTTATCTCCTGGTGCCATTACCGGAGTTTTCGGATCGGCCTGGAAAAATATTAACGATGGCTCCTATGACTATAATATTTCTTCATTTATTAAAATATGTTCATTATTAGAACAATTTGTTTAGACAAGACACTTGAACTGGAAAAAATAAACAGCTAAAAGTGATGTACCACAAAGCCATAGGCAGTTTTTTCATAACATAAACAAGCAGACGAGCCTAGGGGATCCCCAACAAGGGCAGTCATGGATACCCATTTAAGTGGGTAGTCTACATCTCCCAGGGAAGGCTACAAACGGGAGTCGATTCCAAAGTTCGCTAGTTCGCAAAAGAAAATGTCTTGTGAAGCTCAAACTCAAAATATCTTTATTCATATAGGTAAAAAAGTACACTTATGAACTTCAAAAAGAAGTTAAATTAATAGTAAATTTACATTTACTAGCAGCCTTGCGATTCTGTAACTCACTTTTCGAACTCTCTGGCATTCTGATAAACTACAAGCTCCCTCCTTATCAGAATGCCAAATCGTAAAATGTCTGCTTTACGATTGATTTGAGCGCGACCGCCGCTGTGAAAACCGCTGTGTTAGGAAGCAGTTTAGAAGACAGGGGCGTAGAGCGGGTAAGAAGAACTGGCAAAAAACTTTCCACCACTCTTTTTAATCGCCAAGTATTAATAATAAAGTAATAGCGGACCGCGAAAGACTTCCATCAAGGTTTTGCGATTCATTGGTGGATACAATTTTTTTGCATGTAATTAAAACAGCCTTCTACCTAATCAATATAGGTTATTGTTTATCAAATCGAATCAAAAGATGAGAGGACGATCTACCAAAAGGATGGAGAAAGTCTGCCAAGGATAGAGAGACGTGGAAATCATTGTGGGAGGCCTATGTCGACAGACAACCTGACAAACGTGGTTGCTAATAAATTTATTATTTTTGCTATGTAAATTAAATTTAAGAATACTAGTCTTATAACAATAGCATGTCAGTTAAAAATATTATTATTGTTTCTCTGGGGGTCGATATTCGGTCTAATAGGATTAGACTAGATCGTGACCAAATGATCTATAATCTATGTACATATTTACAGGCATTTTTTAAATAGAATACCGGTTCTAAGTTCCGCCAATGTTGTATGCAGTCCGTGAGTCTGTCGGCAAAACCGGGTGCGAAGCATTCTGGGTCCAATGCGACGAAACAGTGACCCAAATTCGCAGGCCCACCTTTACCAGTGTGCGACCAGGATCGTATGTGGTGACCGTAATTTGAACCTTAAACATATACAATTTTATGTTTCTGCAAAAAAAGATTGCTTGGCAAAAACATTGCTTTGTTGCTCAAATGAAAATACTAATTATAACAACTCAAAGTACTAATACTCAAACTTAATCAAAAAAGAGTTTAAGATGATGGCGCGTAATTTTTGAATATTTTCATTTTACAATGATTATATATTTACATGTACTGGGTGAAATTTGCTGCATTAGCTAGCGTCAGCTTTTAGACAAATTACCTGATAGTATTCCACAAAAAAGTTCCACCATAGCTGCTAATCCATACCCTTTGTAACCGGAAGTATGTTCTCCGCCTCCAAGTGGCATCAGACATCCGGTATTGAAGGCCTAAAATTTATTTTTTTCAAATTATTTTTTTTATAAATATAATATATAAATATCACTTATATTAATAAGTGAAAGTTATGGGACTGTACAGTTCCTACGGAGACTAAGGCCTGTCAAAGACGAAAACTAAATTTGTATGAAGATGACAGTTCGTGTCGACAAATTTTCATACAAATTTAGTTTTCGACTTTCTACATACACTATTGTTAAGGCATCTTGGCTAAGCCCGCATATTCTTAAATTTCAATCAAACGTAAATCTAGTTTCCACATATAACCATTTTTTCTGTATGACGTTTGACATATTTGACAGCGCTCAAGAAGAAAATGTGTCTTCAGATACGAATTAAAATATGGATCCAAGTTATATATAAACGGTCGGTGATAACAATGGTCATATCTGAATGACTGATCAATTTCCTTCTGAAGTTATAAATACTTTTATAACTTCAGAAGGAAATTGATCATCAAACATTAACATGTTTCTGCACAGCCGGTATAAGAGCGCCATTTTGCCCACAAAGGTCATGGCTTGGATCCGCCCATGGCGATAATCAAAAGACAAGTAGACAAAACATATAAAAATACAAAAACTCAACCAAATCTTGCTCTTATCTTGTTTTTATTTTTATAGACAAAACGTTATCAGTCTATTTGACATAATATGTCGTGCGCACTTAAGTCACTAGGGCAAAAAACACTTAATAAATTTATATTGTGTTGTGTTCGTTTACTGTAATTCTTAGCACACTTAGCGTGAATGTTAACTCTCGTACGTCAAAATTTAATACGTTTTTGAAGTACGGGAGAAAACCAAGTTTTGATTGGGTTAGAATTAGAAATGGGGTACATACTAAAGTTGCATCATTTGTTTCTGTCCCGTCCGGACCTTGAGCCCAGCCGCTTGGCAAAGGTTCGCCTTTACGCATCTGCATTTCTATCTGAAAAATATAACATAGTTTTATTTATTTTAATAAAAACAGCTTAATTTTTTTAAATAACAATACCTTTCCGACGGCGACAGCGGTAGTAGCCATATCCAAATAGAAGGATTCACCGTCTAATGCTGGAGCAACCACCGCTAAAGGATTTGTACCAAGGGCAGCCTGAAAAACGAACAATATAGTATGTCATAACTATAATAATAATAAAAGGAGACACAAAAAAGTGGACTAGTATTTAACCACTCAACGTAGCTTTTGTTTCGAACTTAGGATCAGAGATCATTGATATACAAAAAACCCAAGATGCACAGTCTCGAATAAAAGTAACGCTCGAAAGTGTCCCGAAACACTATTTCTGTCCATAACAGTATATGTTACAAGCATATATTATTGCAAAATCAACCTTACGCGAATTGCTTAAAGTTGTTATTACAACGCAGTGTATACGTACTTAAAGCAATAAAATTTTACGACCGACCGTGGTCGGTAGGACAAGGTATTGAGTGGAGTCGAACATGACTTTTTTATTTACAACTATTTAACATAATTTTAAATTTATCCGACTTTTCGGGTGCTTTACAGCGTGAGTGGTCACGGTGACTGAAGACAAAAGGTGTTGGATGTTAAATAGTTGTAAATTTATAATAATACATAACATTAATCCGGTTAAAAAGTTTTTTCTTTAAATTAAAAAAAATGTTAAATTGGCTACCTCCTGACCCACACTTTATATAGCGTAAATATATTTGTCAAAAACTACACACAAAAAGGTTCAAGAGTACATAAATTTATTTATAAAAAAAACACAAATAAATAACATCGACTCCACTTATAGACGCGGGACTATTTGAAATGAGCGCACAATTTAGAATGTTGCGCTCATTTTTTGAGGACGTTTTTTAGACGTTGATTGTGCATCTTGGGTTTTTGTATATCAATGTCAGAGATGCAATTAATATAAAAGATTTTTTTATTTATGTAAGTATCTATATTTATATTTTCTTAAATAAATCCAAAACAATTTAATAATTGTTGTTGTTAAAATTTTCTTTCTATTTATTTTTATTATTTAATTTTATTCATGTAACTAAACATAACAGACAAATATACAGATTTACAATTTTCTCAACCTACATACTAATAATAAAAATAATTTTGAATTAATGAAAAGAAAATTTAGACAAATTTAAAAAGTTTGGTCCCTGTGTCAGTGTATTGCGATACTTATTCGTTGAGCGAGAAATGCACCAGCTCTGGGGTCACCGCTACTATCTACCAGACGCTAACTTAACAATTTATTGCGAGACTAAAAATAGCCGGCCCAAGAGGATTGCGTCTGGTATCTTTGCTCATTGAATCAAATGCATTTTTGACGTCAACTTTCAACAACACATCAAATTTTTCGTTATTAAAAAGCGGCTTCTCAGCCACCTTTAATGCCACAGCCAAGTTGTGTTGGTTCAAAAATTTTGTTCAATTTACTAATTATATGTTTTTATACAATTTTCGAGGTAAAGTGCTTCCCACAGCAATTGGCCTCACCCCACCATTGGTGGCAAACTTGGTGGCTCTTACCAAACTTTTTTGGTTTGCGCCATATAAAATGGCGGCAATATCTTGGTTTATTATCACTATGTAAGTTAAGAAAATTGTTAATACTGTATATTTGACGGTTATGTTTTGGTTTTATATATAAGAGATTATAATAACAGTAATTAAAAACACTTGATATAGGGTAATGGAAAATCAATTTTTTTTTAACACCAATTTAAACGAAACTATAAGAAACATACCTTTTTGCTTCTCGTTGGGGCTAGTAATGGTGATGTGTTTGTGTATGCCATACCTATTAGGCTGTTGTCCGCCGCTTTTTTCCCCCAATAGCCAGCCATTCCATAGTGATTAGACCCTGTAAAAATGGACTATTACTTTTGTATCTTTCATTTCACTAAACGCTATGTTAAAACGGCATTGTGTTACTTGTTTTGAAGGACGGAATAGTGAACGACGGCTTTCTAAATTATTTGTTTTATGTAGGATTAATTTTATTTAAACATATTTTAACAAGAGAAGGACTGGCCCATAAGGGACCAGGGCTGAACAATAGAGCGATGGACCGACGGGATCGAAAGGGTAGCTGGAAAAGATTAGATGCCTTCTTCCGGACAGGGGCCGCATCTTAGAGTAGTAGACATTTTAATTATTTATATATATGTCAATAAGATGTGGATGAATAAAGGCTTATTGTTATTATTCTTATTTTTAACTTTTAATTTTATTTTATTTACTATAGATACACCTTTACACAAGACTTCATTACTTACACTGCTAACTTTTACTTATTTTTTTTTCTACTTAGTATTATTACATTTCTTTTCTTTGCGGCTGAGGCGCAAACTAGCTGCTGTGGTCTCTGGAACATTCTCTGCATGACCAGCGCTGTGGAACATTCTGCTCCTCAGCATAATGCTGAGCCAGGGCCAATTACAATCACATCACAAACTTGAAACGAACCGAGTGGAAAAGGGATTTTTTTTTTGATATCTCTCTTTATATTTTTTATTTTATATTTTTGTTTTATGTGTTTTTGTTAGCTCAGACTTAATTGTAATGTATTAACAAAAAAGCGGACAGTCAACTATGTTATTAATTTCATTTTACCTTTAACTGTCACCCAGCCAACTCCCGTCTCCTTCGCCTTTTTTATAGCAATGTTCATTCCGAAATGACTTGCCGTCGCTCCTAGGACATTATTTGCATCCACCCAAGCCGTAGACGGCGTCTCCTTCAGGATCTTTGGCTCGTTGTTTGGTGTACAAGCACCAGTTAGAATATCGTTTACATACAACTCTGAAAAAGGATATCCCTAATTAGAACGAAAGTTGGAGATAATATTACAGGTTTCTCACATACTAAAGTGCCTTCACTCTTTAAATAAGTTTATTCAGAAACCGCTGTTACCATGCAACAAAATAAATAACAATTGTTTTGTTCGCATAAATAAAGAAATACATAAGATTTCAGTCGCCTAATACCTAATCTATTAAGTCCATGGCTTGGATGTCCCATTCTGTCAGCTTGAAGAAGCAAATCCGCCTGCTGTTCCGCTGCTTTAGCTGATGCGCCAGCGGCTTTGAGGCAGTCTGTCATAAACCGCAACGCTTCCCTGGTGGCGACCTTACCCATTTTAACTAAAAAAAAAACATATGTTTAGCAATCAAATCAAATCAAAATTATTTATTCATATAAAATTCAAGATTCAATTCAAATCATTTAAACATATAGATAACACAATGTAAACTTATGATCGTCAAAAAAAACAAATGCTTCTAACTTTACATTTAGTGCCAGTTCTCAAATCAAGGGCGTAGAACGGAAGAGAAGAACTGGCAATGAACTCTCCGCCACTCTTTTTAATCGCCATGTTTTTTGTAAAGCTGCAACCATTACACCATGTTCCACATGACATCTTAAGTAATTAATAATAATAACATAAATGATGAATAAACGAATATATATACACTTATGAACGTCAAAAAGGAAATACATATTAAATGGTTCTAATTGCATTTACTGCCAGTTCTCAAATCAAGGGCGCAGAACGGATAAGAACTGGCAATAAACTCTCCTCTACTTTTATTAATTGTCAAGTTTTTTGTTTTACACAATGTTTGTAAGGAGCTGCAACCATTACACCATGTTCCAAATGAGATCCTAAGTAATTAATTTTAATAAAAAAAGTTAGTTAATAACAAAATAAATTTAAAATAATTTGTTTAATATGTTGCGCATCCGTTTTTTTAGTGGGCATTCAGCTTGGTGGACGTAAACGAATAATGAAATGCGGAATTCTATTCTTCCCTTTTTTTTTAGGTTTTTGTAAATGAAATTCAAACAATTTGACTTGACTTAAATATCCATAGTATATTTAAACTCGGACTATTTATAATCCCTATTTTTTTTAAAGAAAGTTGGTAAGATTTTATAGATTTAAGATTACATTAGGATGAGTAGTGTTAGGCCTCTCAGATGTCGTTTTAAAGAAGAGAACAATAGATTTGGTAAATATTCCTTATTTGCATACTGATTTAGACTTAACAATTTTTGTGACAATCTCTTATCGTTCCCCAAAATAGAATCCCACCCAAACCTCGAACCTACCGACGGCGCTTAGCCCCGCGCTTGGTTGTTCCGCCCTTAACCAATTAACCAGCACGAATTGCTGTGTCAGTGTCTTGGGGTGGACTGCGGGGCGCAGTGAAGAGCTGAAGCACTGAGGCGCGCCGGCCCGTAATAACAATTAGTTATGTAAAACATTTAATTAATGTAATTTTAACCTTTTTTCTGAAATCATGTTCTATATAGATTTTCGTCTTAAAATGAATTCAATAGAAATTATGAAATATGTAATAGATAATTAATCTATAAGTAGAATTTTATTTTTATTTTATTTTATTTTTATTTTATTTTGTAAACCTACAGCTAACATAAATTATATACAATAACAAACAGTTACATTGAAAATATAGCCAAATATGGAATACATAATAATACATATAACTACAAAAAGGTTCAAAAATTTATAAAAGGAACCAAACAAATAAAAACTATTCAATACGTTTATCTAAGTGGTACCTAATTTGGTTGTGTTGTATGATGGTGTAAAGTCAGGGTAAGTACGTGAAGGTGTGTATGTGGGTGGGTATGTTCATGATGCAGGTGATTTTGCGTTATGGATATTCTTAATGCTTTTTTTAAGCATAATCCGCGATAGCTTAAACAAGTCAAGGCTTAATAGTTAGTGTTAATGTGAGGAACATGGAACAAAGCACGATTACGAGTCTGGTAGGCTGGAGCAAGGAAGGATGTAAGTAAACATAACAAACAAAAATACAGAATTTACAATTTTCTTAACCTACATAGTAGTAATAAGAATAATTAAAAAGAAAATTAAAAAGTTTGGTCCCTGTGGCAGTGTACCTTTATCGCTGGCAGCATTTCCTCCCTGTATTGCGATACTCAAAGGTTAAAGGTTGATGGAATCAGTCACTATATTGCGCTACTTATCCGTTGAGCGACGAAAGCACCAGCTCTGGGGTCACCGGTACTATCTACCAGGCGCCAACTTAACTTGAACCACACCGCCCAAGAGTTTCTACTCCAAAGGGAATAAGATCGAAGTCGGAGGAAAGTCTCTTATATTAATAGAAATATATGTTGTGGTATAGTAACGTATTCGTAATACAATTTTAGAAACTATAAAAGTATTTATATTTCGAAATATGTATCTAAATTTTGTTTATAAGAGAAGGCAAAGGAGACGGGACAGCCACAAAAGGAAGCTTCCACAGCCCATGGATACCTTTGTTAATACATGCGTTGCCATCTCTTAATAAGTACACTGTCTTAGATTATTTATAGATTATGTTTGAAACAGGGAACAGTATTCATTACATAATTTTTGTATGGAACTGTATTTTGATGATAGCAGTACTCTCACGTTATTACTATAACGTTATCACGTTTTCTTCCTTAAAGTATTTGTGAAAAGAATTTTAGATAACCTATATATATTGTAGAGCCTAACTCAGAGTCGTCAATTATCGCGTAATAAAGTAAAGTGTAACGAAAATTAAAATTAATAAATATATACAATAAATATGTTAATTTTACCTGGTAAAACTAATAAAGAGTTTCGTTGTAGTTAACGTTAGGTTATTTTTACAAAGAATTGTGCATCTGAGCTAAGAATAAGCTAAGTGATTCATTATAAGACGCAAAATACAAGGTAGCTTCTTAGTGTCTTGAAAACAAGGTATTCCTTGTTTTCAATACACAAGATTCGATTATATCAATACTAGCTGACCCGACAAACGAAAATAACTATCTACTATAATAAAAAATAGTAGTTGATCCTAGAGGGGCGAAAATTAGGGGTTGTTTGTATTTTTGTATGTTGTATATTAAAAAAATAAAAACAAAAAAAAAAAAAAAAAACCATTTTAACTATCTATTTTTCAAACCCCTAAGTGACTTATCACTAAATATAGATAGTAGCCGATTCTCAGACTGAATATGCATAAAAAATTTCATAAGAATCGGTCGAGCCGTTTCGGAGGAGTATGGAAACGAACATTGTGACACGAGAATTTTATATACATATTAGGTTAAAAAGAACCCAGTAGCTACAACCTTTTAAATAGGGGTCTCGGATTTCTGTATGTTTCGCGTAGTGTGCCTTCTGTGCTTGACACACGCTGTCAACTCTTTGGGCCTGCCTGATGCCGCCTTTTTTCCTTCACCGTATATTAATAAATATATTATATTTATTTGAGGATAAATGGAACCACAACCTAATTTCTAATTGTATTTTCCTGGGTTATGTTATATATATATATATATATATATATATATATATATATATATATATATATATATATATATATATTACTACCAACAGATATCACGTAGCCTATTATACAGAGGTAAACATAATTTCACATATAGAAACCGGTTTGACCAGCACAATTCGAAAAGATGAATAATTATTAAACTCTGCTTACAAACACGATTGTTTGCATCAAATAATACGAAAAAAATTGCTTAACTCAAAAATTAATAGTATAATTATAATAGATTTTAAGAAATATTTTTTTTGAGATTTAATGTTTTGTATAGAAACAATTAATCAGACTATTTCTCTATAATCATAATAATTTATTTATTTTTAACACAAAGTTTTTATACTCATAATACGTGTAAAATAAGTCTCAAACTATTATAATGATTAAAACTATAACGACATATTTAAAGGATTTAAAAATGTAATAGATATCCAGAACGATTGCTGCTATTGGTCGATGAGCAGACCTTTGAATTAATAAAACATTCAATCACCAATTTCGTAACATAATGCAGTAAAATTAGCTTTAGTTAGAAGGAAGACGTTGTAATGAGGATAAATTGGAACATTTTTCAAAAACACACCTATTCTCCAATTATTTTACAACTGAAATACCATCATCAAATAAACACTTACCCTAAAAGATAGAAGTAACAAACAAAATAATTTAAGAATAAATAAACAAACTATTGATAGCGATAACACGTCCGAATGCAACGCATTAGCTTCGCGACTGAAGTTAGCAACGATAACGAACTACAAACTGCAAACTTAATTTTGTTACGTACTGTATATATGTATATAATATTACACATAGACTTATGCGAAAATAGCTAATTAATACTTAAGTAACAATTTATCCTGCATTTAAACCGGCTTTTTGTAAAATTTATTTTGAGAATACATATTCATAATTTTATTTGTTTCAATAATAAAAATGCTGTTTTAGAAATAAGAAATCACAACACTACCTTTACCTAACACTAAGATTTATATACTGCGGATACCAAACGAACAAAAACTAAATGTTCCTTCGATTCCTTTTCGTCTAGTTTGATAACTACATAATATAACATTACTACTATTGAAGTTAAAAAGAGCCTTCATCAAGATACATTAACGAACAATTCATATCATCATTGAGTTAATCAAACATAATAATGTGATAAATGATTTTGAGACTTAAATTTAAAATTAATATAATAAGGTTCTCATAGTTTATTGTAGAATGTGATGTATGACAAGAAAACAACTTAAACTAAATGTAGGTCAGTTTTTGCTTTTTTCCTATTCACCATACTTAACCTATTCCTTTGTTTAAAAATTTACAGAATAATTAATAACACTAACACGGCCTTGGACATTCGGCATGATCTAATGGAACGCATTTGCACGAAACCACGTATTAGCGGCATCTATATCTTTGCGCCTGATAAAATTAATAAAGCAATTAGTTAAATAGAGAAATATTTATGAAACTCTATAATTATATATTCTTTAAAAATAAGAGCTTTCTCCTACCTATAAGGCCGGCGACGCCCCCAATAACATGGGTGTTCATGGGTTTGTGTTTAACAAAAAGTATAAAACTCACATTTATGAATTAAGCAACGGAATGCAATTCCCGTATGAGTGCTAAAATTCAATATTAATAAGACATCATACATAAGCTGATTGATATTATTTAATATCTTTTATATTAATAATAACATATCCATAACCCGTAAGACGATGCGACACTTTAAACACAACATACTCTATGGTCATAATCATTATCTGTGTAACTTTGATAAACAGCAATTGTTTCGGGTTGGTAGATATAAAAGGCCGATCTTCTACTTGCCTTATAAATAATGTAGTAGGCTCAAGATTCCAATACATTTGACATACTGGAGCAGTGGCGTAGCTACCAAGGGGCTGGGCGGGTTTTTAAGTATTTGTATATTTCATATTTTTATTTGATTAAACCTAATAAGTTTACAGAGCAGTGGGCCCCCATTTTTTAATTTGCCCCAGGGCCCTTGGTCACCTAGCCACGCCACTGTACTGGAGTAGTTCATAGGTCACGCTAAGTCTTAAACTCATAAACTTATGCTAAGTGCTAAGTCTGACTCTCTTACGTCAAAAATTTATTGAATTTTGACATACGAGAGTCCATAGATAACGCTAAGACTCGACTCTTAATTATTACCCTAATCACTAACGAAATATATTGTCTATTTTACCTTGACACTCCTCCATGACAACTATAAAGTGTAACTTATTAAAAATATGACTGTACACCACCGCACTTACAGTTACAATGTATTTATATTAATGAATTATCTTAAGTATAAACAAATATTAAGTTAATAACCTTTACTTTGCCTGATAAAGGGATTCAACTTCCTAGCGAGTACGCCCAGAATCTCTATCCACAGTATGTCGTAATCGCCAAGTATATTGTTCAGAAAAGAACATATTTTCTTAAGAAAACACTCAGATCTAACAATTACATACTTTAAAACAGAATTAATACATTCTTTACCTCACACTAAATAATTATTTAGCCCGGAAATGAACCTAGAATTACACGCAACGAGCGTGCGTACGTGCGGCATCGCTATAAGCATTCAATACACATTAAACTGTAACTGTCATAGTCATTAAAATAAATTAGCAGAGTAATTGAGAAGTAATAAGCGTGATTCACAAACAAGGAAACAATTGATTCAATAGTTTGTCTAAAAACCAATTGTTAGAATTTTGGAGATTCTTTGTAGAGTAGTTACCGGCTCTGTAAAGTTGTTTTTACAAATATCTTTACTCTAGTAATTTTAATACCAATCAATTTATCTCTCAAATAATGAATTTTGTCCTATAATTAAATTAATTTCGTTTCAATGATTATGGCGGAAACAGCTTGCCGTAAGATGAAAGGAATGTTACAATTAATCACGAAACAATTGACGTCAAAATTTAATATATGCGATATAAAAATAATACAAACACAATTTGAACTTTGCTATCAAACAAAATAAAAATACAATTATGTAATGAACCCAAACTTACTTATCGAGATACACTAAACAATGTATTTAAAGCAGATTATTATGCGACAAATCAGTTCAACACTGATATTCAAAGATGGCAGTTAGAATTGATGAAGTCCTAAGATTTATGGAGGAAAGTTTAGCAGCTGTGGGGGCTCCACTGGCGGAGGCCAAGGCCCAGGCGGATCTCTTGATCCATGCCGATTTAGTCGGGCACTTTAGCCACGGCCTCAATCGTCTCGGTGAGTTTTTAGTTAAATAAATATTATGAGACTAATATCTACTATCTCTCATCCCTGAGGTCGTAGGTTCGAACCCGTACCAATAGACTTTGTTTCTATGTGCGCATTTAACATTAGACCGAACGGTGAAGGAAAACATCGTGCCTTAGACCCAAAAAGTCGATGGCGAGTCAGGCACAGAAGGCTGATCACCTACTTGCTTATTAGATTGACAAAGATCATGAAACAGATACATTAATCTGAGGCCCAGACCTAAAAAGCTTATAGCGCCACTGATTTATTTTATTTTTTATTATCTTAAATCAATTACTTAAATAACAAACTAATTTGACTAATAAACCTAAATACAAAAGTTTTGTATATAATCTTATTTCAGAAAAAATACATTTTGAATTTTCACTATCTGTATGTTTAAAACTATGACATTAAAAATCCAGAAGAAGTCAAAAAGTTAGAAATTGTATATTTGCAAATATAGGTAACAGTTAAATGTATACAAGTGTAAAATAAATCATCCAATAATACCTCGGCAATAAAGACTAATGATTAAATAATTAAATTCTTATGGGATTTATTCTTGAATACAGAACTCTATATCAATGACATGACGAATGGCATTTGTAAGCCAGCTGCAAGCCCGGTGATATTAAAGGAATCGGCCGCTACAGTTTGGGTGGATGGAGCGCATGCTTTGGGTGCTACAGTGGGAAACTTCTGTATGGACTTAGCCATAAAGAAGGCAAAAGAAAGTGGAGTAGGGTGGGTCTCAGCTAAAGGTAAGATTTGTCATAATGTATAATAGTTTTCGGTTATTGAGGAATCTAGTCCGCTGTATGTACTACTGGGAAAATAACTCTGCCTATTATTCCGTCAATGAAATGGATGTTAATTATGAAGATAAATGTAAAGACCTTCTCAGGTATTTGTACAAGCTTATTTCATAATAAGAATTTATTGACGTGGTAACGAAAAAAATTAAATTGCTACCTAAACGTCTATATCAAAAAAATATATTGATGAAGATCTCCCATCCCTTTCCCCACGAAACTATTTTCGTTCCTGACAAGTCCACTCACTGCCCATGATCAATTGCGTCAAATGAGTCTAGATATAGAACATACTAGCAGACTCGGCCAAGCGTTGCTTTGGCTAAGGTTTTTGTTATATTACATAATAGTGAACTATTCAAGGGAAACACCAGTCATGGGGACCATGCTTTATTGGTGGTTATGCCATTAAATTGTAGCTTCTGTAAAACGTTGGTACTTTCAACACAGCGCCATATTCTGTTAGAATTGTGACTGTCAAATAATAAACAAATAATTTGCAATAAAATAATATTCCAGTTTTAGATGTAAGCTATCCTATCTTTTAAGTTAGATCAACTTGCACACGGTGTGCAAATTTGATTGAAATCGAATAAGTAATGTATTACTAAAAAATGTATTACTCCAGTTTGGCAAGTAGCTTTAAAAGTTGGCGCATTTAATAAGGATTGTACAGTGGTATAACACTGAGTACATTATTACTTAGATCGGCCATAAGAATTTTGTTACCTATGAGAAAATTTCGACTTGACGTCGACTTTTGGGACACCCTGTATATTAAGGTTATGTTTCTTTGGGTAGGATGTAACCATTTTGGAATGGCTGGCTACTGGGCTCTAAAGGCAGAGCGTGAAGGTCTAATCGGCATGGCTTTTACCAATTCTGCGCCAATTATGACGCCTACGAGGTCTAAAAACGTAAGATTTATTTATATTGTTTTAATTATTAAAAGTCTCCCAAAGAAAGATTCAGATTACTTACAAAAATTTAAAGTGATTTTGTATATATCAATTGTCTCGAGAATTTATTATCCATTCATTAACATTAATTTACGACAAATATCTTAAAATTCCTTATAATAAAGAAATGAGACGAGGCATAGTACACAGAGTAGGATTGTTTTTCTTTATCTTTATATAGCAGTACTAGCCGTACTGCTGTGCCTTTCGAAACATTTTTGATTAGCCATTACCGGAAACTTCACGCACACAATGCTGTGGCTGTGGCATACTTTAACAGCTACCAAAGTCAATTTATATTATAGAGCGCAAATGGTACGAACCCCATCGCGATGGCAGCACCAGCAGGTGGCGGCGACTCATTAGTGGTTGATATGGCAACTACCACGGCTGCTATGGGCAAGGTAACGTGTGATCACTGAAACAAGTGCATTTCTGTTTTATCAATGAACATTTTTAATTATCTATCTATCTATGTCGACCTAACTTCATCAAGCTATTTATGAAGTTGAAATATGTTTAATATTACTATACGTACAATGTCATAATAAAATGAAGCCTTTTCAATTCCTGGTCTGTTCACCTCTATTTGTTCAAAGCATTTTTTTTGATTTTTCAATCGACAGCGTAAGATAATTTTTATATGGCAAAAAATTATTTTAGGTGGAAATACAGATGCGTAAAGGAGAAATGATACCAGAAGGCTGGGCTCTCGGGCCAGACGCTAAGCTAACCACAGATGCTGAACTGGTAAACTCTATTTATAAATATTCTCATACATCTGTCTGTAGTGTCTCTATCTACTCTAGGTTGCAGATGTCGCGCTCATGGGTTTGTCAAGGCATTTCTCATCTGTTTCATTGTTTTGTTTAAGGACAAGTACCTATTTTCTGCACGTCGTCGATCTTTTAGTTAATTTATTTAAGAAAATTTATTCACCATATTTAGCAATTATTAACTGTGTACAAATAAATTATATTGGTGCACCGCCTGATTGATGGGCCTGACCATACGAATACACCAACCTAAGGGTTGGGAGCCAGCTGCCTGAACACTAGACTAGAGTTGTTGCAGTTTAATAACGACCGAAATAAGCATTCATTATCAAGTATCATACTTTCTAACGCCTGTCAAAAAAACAACAAATACAACATAATGTAACTAAACTTTGCTCCCAAATTATTGCAGGCGTTTGAAGCTGGACGACTTATGCCGCTCGGTGGTTTCGAGCAGACTAGCGGTTACAAAGGCTACGGTTTAAGTGTAATGGTGGAACAGTTCTGTAGTGGTCTATCTGGTAACTGAATTTTTATTAGTGTGCAGTTGTGTGTGCGCACACACATGGGTATATTACGAGTAAATGCACATACATAATCGAGATTACCGGCCCAGTCCCAGTCTAATTTGAGAATTAGTATTACAAAGTCTATTTATTTGCTTATCATACTGATACTTATCCCACAGTTACTTATAATACAATATCTCAATAATTACATTATACACAAAACCAAATATGCAATACACATTCAAACATAAGCATAAAACACAGTAAACAACTTATATAATATATATTAATACAGATATAACATTTGTTTTCATAAATACTTACGTGTTAAATTAAAGACCTGTGGTTGTAAATTAAAATACAGTTAGCGATTATTAACCGACAACTGGACGTGTATGATACATACATATTATATAAAAAGATTTGCTGGTGGACGTACTCCTACGTTGCCGGATTACCGACCGGAAGGAGGCTTTTACCCTAAAAGGGGCCATACAAAATCTAGACCACTAAAAAAGGAAAAAGAAATCTACAACTTATAAGTATTAGTAATTAAGGAATGTAAATTGTTGTATGGATTCATTAAAAAAGTTTAATAATAATGGAAAAATGCGGGCGTGAAATATAAAATCAACAATATAGACATTTACGTATTATTAAATCAGTTAACACTTCGGAACTTTCAGGATCGAACCCATCCCATAAAGTGCCCGGTTGGTCATACACACAGACGCAACCTCCCAACATGGGCCAATGCTTTGTGGCTATCGACCCGGAACGATTCGCACCTGGCTTCCAAGGCAGAGTAAAGGATTGCCTGGATCATTACAGAAGTCTGGAACCAGTAAGTACCAGTTGTAGATAATTGAATACTAGTACTCTATCTGTTTGTAAGATCGTAGTTAGTGAAGTTTGTTTATTCAGAAATTTAGTTTGATTCCCGATGCGATCCGCTTATTATCTGTGTTGAAGTTTGTACATATACATACAATCAAACAAAAGTTAATCACTAAACTAGGTCTAAGGCGATAAAAGCGTTCCATAAGAATTCCGTCATACTTCTTTTCACCATTGACGGTGTGGAAGAAGGAAGGCGCTGGACTTCCTCCGACCTAAAGAGAGGATCGTCAACCAGTCTAACCACTGACTGACCCACCCGAAGGAACCAGTGGCTAAGATAGAGAAGTTGTATATTGTATACTTTGCGGCCCGAATAACATCGTTAGTTCGTTTCAAGACGTCGTCACAGTGATTGTAGGTTTTGTTTTAACGGTCTTAGATGGAAAGTAGATTTGAAATTCTCTTGTTATAAAACCTGTCGAATTGCGAGATCCAGGACATAGGTGAGGAAGAATACGAAACGATGGCGTATTTACAAATAGACGCGATAGAAAGGCGAGACGGTACTTCACTCCGGGTCACCGCTTGCAACTCTATAAAGCGCAAATTCGGCCCCACATGGAATACTGTTCTCACCTCTGGGCGGGAGCTCCCCAGTACCAGCTCCTTCCTTGAGCGTATTCAACGAAGAGCGGTTCGAATCGTCGACGACCAGTCACTTTCCGTGCGGCTTAATCGCTTGGCGTTGCGTAGAGTTGTGGGGTCTCTCTGCATCTTCTACCGCATTTACCATGGAGAGTGTTCAGAGGAGTTGTTCGGATTAATACCTGCAGCTGAGTTTCATCATCGGATGTCAAGGCAAAATACAAAATACCATCCGTATCACCTCGACGTCCGTCGTTCCACAACTGAGCGTTTACTAAGGTAGTTTTTGCCGCGCACCATCACTATGTGGAACCAGCTGCCCACTGAAGTATTTCCGAACCAATACGACTTAGGGTCCTTCAAGAAAAGAGCGTACCAATTCTTGAAAGGCCGGCAACGCACTTTCGAGCCTTCTGGCATTGTGAGTGTCCATGGGCGGCGGTATCACTTAACATCAGGTGAGCCTCCTGCCCGTTTGCCTCCTATTACATAAAAAAAAATTGAAATATATAATCTTTAGTGTTTTTTCAATAAAGCTTTGCTATAATTATTTTTAGCTTTAGCTATAACTATTTTTGATTTTCGTTACCAACTAAGTTATGTAGGCTGAATATGATATATTTATATTGAGTCACGTACTTCACGTGAATAGTCTTGAATAATTCATACATTATAACTATGTAAGGGTTTAACAATCATTAGAGCCAATGCCAACTTTCTTTTGGCATACGTTGAGCCATGAAAGATCCGTTTACAAACGTGACCTAGGACATAGAAAGTCTCAAGAAGAATCCGCTAAAGTAAACTACAGCTAAAGTAAGCTTGTTTCTATGTATACATAAAATGATGGTAATGCAAGTAGCATTATTTTAGCGTTATTTTTGTATTTAACTAAAAAAGAGCAGTGTCGGCCTAGTGGCTTCAGCGTGCGACTCTCTCACCTGAGGTCGTAGGTTCGATCCCCGGCGGCACCAATAGACTTTTTCTTTCTATGTGCGCATTTAACATTTGCTCGAACGGTAAAGGAAAACATCGTGAGGAAACCGACATGTCTTAGACCCAAAAAGTCGACGGCGTGTCAGGCACTGGAGGCTGATCACCTACTTGCCTATTAAATTTAAAAATGATCATGAAACAGATTCAGAAATCTGAGGCCAAGACCTAAAGAGGTTGTGGCGCCACTGATTTATTTTTATTTTTAACTCAAAAAGATTAAGATTAGTCTAAACGTTTCAAATAAAGATTTGGTATATATCTTCGTCTTCATTACGTAATCATATCATAAGGATAATATGTAAACCATTTTTTTTTAATTTCATATCTGTACTAATGTATGTAACGTAGTGATTTTTAAATGCAAGATATATGAGGGAGATCAGTTGGCTTAAAAACCTTTCGTACACTTTTTGGCATAACACACATGCACTGAATGGTGGTGCTGTGGGTTTAGTCAAGATGCCTTAACAGTAATGTATGTAGAAAGTCAAAAACTTATTTGTATGAAAATGACAGTTCGTCGACAAAATATAAATAACGTTTTGACGTTGTTACATTATCACCGTTAATTATTGTGGTTTATTAGATTTGCCAATAATAGATTACAAATTAACGACTATTTGGGTCTACAGTAATAGTAATTTCATAGTCGCTATTATAAAAGTAATTTGTTATGTCAGAGCAATGGCGTTAGTGTGTCTTTATAATTTAATAACATCAAAGTCAAAAACTGCCAATGATGCTAGATCTATGAACTACTTACTCAACTTAGAGACAATCAATATTAAAGTAAACATTTGTCATTCGTTTCTAGACTGCCGTTTGCTCTATAGTCGATTCGGGTTCGGCCGCGGAACAAGTCCACCTAATGTCACGAAACTTGTTTCTGGTTGCTATAAATACAGACACTGGTTGGTACGGCCCTCGTAAACCACCTCCACTTGGTACTAGGTCCAGTGACCTTCTGGCAAGCCCTTCAGGCGATTGACCACCCCCCAAAGCCCGCGGTTCAAGTCTTTGTTAAAATTCAAGTCGTGCTTTCTCGTTATTGTTATAATTCTCGTTTCTTGTTGTCTTTGCCAGTCTCTTCCTCTTGTGCTGTTAATTGTCTTCCATTCCTTAATCTCTCCACAGAAACCTCATCACTCCGTCGTATATAATAAGATCTCATAGCTTCGTCCTAAAAATAAATAATTCATAGCTGACATACTTTTCGTACTTCTCTTGTTCTCTTCGCTTCTAAGTGGACTGAGTGTTTTTAAAATGTTTATAGGTGTTATATTATTAAACATAATAAATAATGCATTTAATAGTGAAGCCGTGCGTGCGTGAACTTATTACTTGTAAGCAATCATAGTGACGGGCATATTATTAAATTGTTATATATTAATGGCTTGATACAGGAAAACTGTACAAATGCAATAATAGCTATGATTAATACAGTTACAATTCCGTACCTGCTAGAGTTTCAATGTTAAAGTAAATTCTTATTTTCCTTTCATAGACTTGTTTACTAAAAAGATTATCAAAGGTGTAATTTTCTTTTATTAACTTTGTTACAAACAAATTAACTCAAAAGCTACTGGGCCGATTTCCAGATTTCTTCCTCCATCAGAATGCAATGAATCCCTGAGTATGGGCTATTTAAATTTCCAAATATTTTAAAAAATAATTTAAGTCAATATAAAGAATTAAAAAGTTTGATTCTTTGTAGCTATTTATTTTATATTTCTATAAATGTTGATTGTGTTTCAATGTAACTTTACAATTCAATGTAACATTCAATGAAAAAATGACATCACATTATTTTTAATGATTTCACGGCCAAAATTAATAATGTATCCTCAATCTATGATTATAACCAATCTTGGACTGATTCATATCTAAAGACCGATCTCCAATCTGCATGCCAATAAACATTTCTGCTATCCGATTGTTTATTTGACAAAAGATTGACAGCAATCTTTTGCGTGATCCTTCCCTCTCGACCGCGTTTCGTTCAATGCAATATATTGTGTTCAAGCATACCAAAAGTTTGCTGTTTTTGGAACAAAATAACATAAGTAAGACTTAGGGTCTGTTTCACAATGTATGGATAAAGTAGCAAATAGCTATGCAACGTTTTTGTTTGTTTTTTTGTTACGAACAAATAAAGTTACAAAATTCTATAGAAAAACATAGAACCTTAACCTTTTTGTTGGTCATTTAATATTACTTGTAACGAAACGGGCTGTCATTTTCATATGGTATTTTTGTTTGTTAGGTTATTGAGTATTTTAGTATATATTTTAATTTTTAGTTCGGCGCCTTCGGCTTGACCTTTCAAATATAAATTTTCTCTGAGTAGTTTGTGTATGTTGTTTTTGTGATTCGAGGTTGGTTCTTTAACTTAAAAAAATGTCTACGCAAAAACGTGAAAGAAGCGTCAATTTTAGCCGGGAAGAAGTTGACCTTCTAACTTCGCTTGTTGCTGACCATATAAATATATTAGAAAATAAAAAGAGTGACTCAGTCACCTGGCAGGAGAAAGAGCAGTGCTGGAAGACGCTGGAGGCGCTGTTTAATAGCACAAGTGGGGTAAACTTTCGCAGTGCTAAAGCTTAAAGAGGGCTACAAGAAAAAAGTCTGCCTTGATACATGCTGAAACATATCGTACAGGAGGTGGCCCTAGTGCTGCTACTCCTCTTACGCCTATCGAGGAAAAAGTCAAAGACATGATATTGTTGTCTGTCGAAGGAATTGAAAGTCAATTGAAAGGAAGAGCTTCTAAATAAGAGAAAGCAATGGGCATTTGAAGAGGAAGCAAGAGAGCATAAAAGAGAATTATGGGCCATAGAAAAAAATATATTGTTAAATAAATTAGAAAAATAATAGATTTTGTGCCTGGAGCAAGGATGTATTATTGTATTAAAAATTTGTATTTTTATTTGAATAAAAGCATTGAATTTTTATTTAATTTATCTCAAAAATGTTGTAATTTATAAAATATTATAGTAATAAAGCAAAATAATCACTTATAAGATTACTTCGCACACTTGCATTTCCCACGTTGTCAATTGCCCTTTGATCAATATCATAAGCTGGTTCATCATCATTAATTCGTATGTCTTCACACAGAAGTACGTTGTCTTCTTCCAGCTTCAGAATTACTATCCCAATCGGATAATTGCATTTAAACTTCCAAATCACTATCACTAGAACTGGAAGATGACGAAGATGAAAAAAATTTCCCAATGAATATTAAGTTAGGTCGCAATCCCAATCCCAAATCATACGAGTTTCACCGATAGCAATCCGAGATTGATTTGACCAATCGAAGCAACTGTCAAAATGGACAGGTAGGTTGTTGGCATGAGTAAACATTCATTTTCATACAGAGGGCAATCTTCAATCTCTTATCCGCCCTATGAACGATTGGTTGAATAATTAGATTGGTATCTCAGTCCATGGATTTAATATTGGCATGCTTTTCTTTAGAAATGGATTGAATTGTCAGTTTATGACAGCTAAAATTGGATTGAGATTGCATATTGGTTTTGGCCGTCAAACACTTTCTCAGGTTGACACGTCTAGTCTATGATAATTACTTAATTGCCGTAGATGTGTATTCTACACAAATGTTCTTAAATCACGTTATAATTTTTCTATTGTTTTTGTACATCATTTTTAGTGCTTAAAAGTGTTTTAAAAGAAAAAAGCTTCATAATAATAAAAAAGGATATTTAGTTAAAAAGAAAATGCACTAGCCCCGACACTAGGATTTCCTGTCTCGTGAGCAGCCAATCTCTTCCTTTTGACATGTTAACTGTACTTGACAATAATTTCTACATAACTCTTACATTAATTAAACAATTGTTGCACAATAAGAATATTTTCCGTTTCAGTATAGGGCAGGTTGAAAAGATGTTTAAGATTGTTAGTGAATGTATAAAGTTTTCAATCGTTAGTGAACATTTTCTCTATAAAAAAGTTTAAAGATGAAAGGGCATCTGAAGGAGAAGAAGTGTTGAGCGAAGAAAGTGCGTTTTGCTTGTGCTTATAAGTTGTGTAAGATGTGGTGTGGTCGGAGTTTGTTTCCAGAACAAAACAACATCATATAAATATAAACATTGTATACCAATTAATAGATAAAAAGGTGTGCCGTAACCGTAAATACAAAAGTGAACAGAACAAAATCCATTGTTTTTAATAAAAAGAATTATCGTTTCCCTACGAAACCATAATTGTAATGCACAGAGGCTAGTCATGCACTTTTTTAAAATATCTAGAAAACAGATGGAAAAACGCGTCATGTCACTACTATATTTACTGTTCTTATCGGCTACGGGTCTGTATTTGCAGTTAGTGACTGTGATCCCGACAATGTTTAGATTTTGTACACCGCGATACAAAGGTTTAATCTAATCTAATATAAATTATTTATTAATTAAATTCCAAACTAATCTCTAGCATTTATACATTAGAGACTCGGTAGTCGGTAATTTAAAGGGCGACAATGCACTCGCGAGCCCTCTGGCATTGAGAGTGTCCATGGACTCAAAACTTAGCCATTAAAAAGAGTGTCGGAAAGTTTCCTGCTAGTTCTTCTTGCCCGCTCTACGTACGCCCTTGACTTGCGAACTGGTAGTAAATGTAAATTTACAATTAATTTAACTTCTTTTCTGACGTTCATAAGTGTACTTGTTTACCTATATGAATGAAAAGTTATATTGAGTTTGACACTTGGCATCAGGTGAGCCACCTGCCAGTTTACCCCCCAGTTCTATAAAAAAGACTTCTAAGTGCCGATGCACAGAGATGTTCGAGAGAAATAAACGTTATTCTCAAGTTTAGTGGGTAAAAATTGCGTCATCCTTTTGCTATTAATGAATTATAATAAACAATATATAATTATAATTAATTTAATGCACGAGTCTAAGTGCCGCAAAATACCTAAAATATATATTTTATATGACGTGTTAAACATAGGTTTAACTACAATCGTGATTGTAAGGGCCAAGGGAATCTTGATTTCAATATATGATATTCATTTAAATGTTCTAATCGCATATAAATAATGTAACTTGTTATTATCAATATAATGAATGTTTTACACGTTTCTTTAGATTTAATTAAAATATATAGTAACTAAGCAAACTCAAAATTTTCCTTATATCACTAAAAAATTAAATTTGAAATTTCAAATAGATGACTAAATGTTTATATAGTATCAATAGTAAGTATCAATAGCTTTAGAATATGAAATATTTTGTATCATAACTTTATAAATATAATCCTTGATGGCTGGAAGTTTTCCACGGTCCGCTTCAGAAGAGATTTTCTATTGCGAACTAGCGAACTGTGGAATCGACCCCCGGTGGGGGTCTTCCCTCCGAGATACAACGATCCAATTGTTTAAAAAAAGAGCATATTCCTCTCTCAAAGGCCGTCCCTTAGGCTCGTTTGCTATAAAAAAAAAGTGAGGATTTATTTCGAATTTAAATACTTTTCAGATGTCACGTGTTAAAATCGTGTTAAAATGAACACTATTCATAATTATTTTACAATTTCAGGTTGACCCAGCGCTTCCAGTTTTAGCTCCAGGTGACAAAGAGAAAAAGAATGAATCTATAACACGAGAGAGGGGAACAATCATCTATCCACAACCCCAAATCGAGTCGTACAACAAATTAGCTGTGAAAATTGGTGTAGATCCTATTAAAACAGAATTTATATAAATCTTTAATTTTTACTTCTATAAGATAAAAAGAAAGCATTGTTAAATGTCTATCTGATAGCTACCTAATACTTTTTGCTAGTATTTTTTGTTAAGTAAAATCTAAAATTAAAATACAATTATTGTCATGTATTTTAGAAAAGACAGCTTGAATAAAATACAGACCAGTGAATGATCAAAATGATCCTTTGCAAGATACTTTTTAGTGAAACACGCGAACATGCCATTGTTTCGTCTATAATTTTTATTCTTATCAATTGATTATTTTTTATTTTTATTACCTTGAATCATTTTTAAGGGCTGTATTTTTTCTGTACGAAGTTTGACATCTGATAGTGACCAAAACGAGATTAAAAAAAAAAAAAAAAAAAATATTTTATTTCTTGTTACTCGATATTCTAACTTCCTTCAGTAGATACCAATAATCTTTCTCCATTCGCTTGACTTGACATACGAGCTATAATAATAATTTATTTGCAGGGCTATGGCACAAAAATGTTATGGTGGTACAATCTATTTCGCATATTCAGCCACACATAATTGCGTGCAAATTTGTCTTAAAAGGTAGAATATAAATCACAATTACATTATGAGTGATATCATTATAGTCAATTACTATATTATTATTATACCTATATACTATATAGTGTTTAGTTGAAGCAAAGTCTACACATTTTAATAATAAATTCCCGTCTATATCCCCCTAAAAACCCCCCTATATGCTTTAAGGCCTCGAAATTTTTGTCCCAACTTTTTAATACATTCAACCAGACACCAGCTAGTCAATAAAACGATTATACGACCTCATTAGAAATTAATAATGTTTATTAATAATTAAAATACCTGAACAGTTATATGCACAAAAAAATAACGTTACTGTGAATGACCGTAACGATTACTTATGCAAATATTTGACAAATAGCTTCTTGATGCTCTAAATACATAGTCATATTAATCGTTATTAATGAACATTCAAATACGCATACATATTTCTAAATATTATATCTTTTTATATAGAACAAGAGGGCAAGAAGCTTACCTGATGTTAAGTGATACCGCCTTTGTGTTATCGTGATGTGGTACGCTCATTTATTGAAGGAACCTTAGTCAAATTGGTTCGGAAATACTTCAGTGGGTAGCTGGTTTCACATAGAAATGTTGCACGGCAAAAAGTGCCTAAAAAAATTCTCAGTTGTCGAACGACGGACGTTGAGATGATACAGGTGAAATGTCATATTCTACCTCGACGTCCGATGATGAAAGTCAGATGCAATTGATACGAACACTCTCCATGGTAACTGACTCATCATAGAACTATTGAAACCGATTGAGTACAACATAGGTAAATAAATAAATCAGGTTCGCTACGGCCTTTTTAGGTCTGGGCCTTAGATTTCTGTATCTGTTTCATGATCATTTGTCAATCTAATAGACAAGTAGGTGCCTCACACACGCCGTTGACTTTTTGGGTCTAAGGCAAGCCGGTTTCATCACGATATTTTCCTTCACCGTTCGAGCGAATGTTAAATGCGCACATAGAAAGAATGTCTATTCGTGCACTGCCAGGGATCAAACCTACGACCTCAAGGATGAAAGTCGCACGCTGAAGCCAACACTGCTCTGCTGCTACGCAACATCGGTAACCCAACCCAAAACGCAATTTTAGCATTATTAATACAAATACAAATCAATGTAAATTATTATAATTATTAAAATAAGCAATATCATCATTCACATTTACCCCCCGTAGGTTTATTACAGAAGTTCGTAAATAATTTTAAGCAAATATTTGTAAAACGTGACAAATAAATCAGCTTTATATCGTAAAGAAACTACTGGGCCAAATAAAAATGCCCGTTCGGGATATTGCAACACATTGCAATGCACTTTTGCGCCTGTTACATTGGTATTCTACTTCATAGACTTAGGATCAGCGACCTTGCATATTTATTATTATTATACAATTGACGTAATTGATCGTAACGCGATCTCTTCCAGGTATAATAAGGTTCGATGTAGGGAATCAAGTAAACACGTCCATCTCGTATGATATATCTTAATAATTAGTACATTTCTCTTATAGACTAAAGCGTTACATATACGTATGTTTTAGGTATCTTATTTTATACTGACACCATACAGGCAACCAATGTGAGAAAAAAAAATAGATAAGGAGAATATTAAAAATATTACATATATGAAAATAATAAAATCTATGCTAGCTAGCATAGATTTACCTTTTTTTATATCGTGTTCTACGTCAAAACTTATATTAAGGTAGTAACGGATAAAATTTTATTGAAAATTATATAATTATTAATTTTCACATACAACAACGTTTTAATAGGCCGGCAACGCACTCTGACATTGAGTGTGTCCGTTGGCTATCACTTAACATCAGATGAGCCCTGTATTCTATAGAGAATAAAACATACGTTGTAAAAAGTCCCGCTTCTGAACTTCACCCTTAAAGTACACCAACATTTCTTTCTTCTGTCCATTACTTTATAACATTATATTTAATAAAGTTATAAAGTAAATTAACTGTCTGTATACAAGCGTCGATTGCTTTATAACAAAAATTTAAGAAGACAGACAAAAAAATTTATCACGTAATTTTGTATATGTTTATGTGAAAACAAGTCGTAAAATAAAAATATCATAAACAGTGATTGGAGTTGAAATTATATAAATCTTATTGAAAGTATGATATTTTAAAACGAAAAACTTATTTCGAGCACAACTTACAATATATGAAATTGACTTTTTGTCGTACTGGCCACTTGGACCATAAATCGTCTTTGGTTAGGTATTCCAAATTCAATTTTTTACAGCTATTTACTCGTGCATTCGTTTTTCACTGCCTTTCAATAAATTTAAGAAATGTATTAAAGAAAAGCTGTGTAAAAAGGCTTACTATAAAGTCAACGATTATCTAGTTGATAAAAGGGCCTGGGACTAGTGCTAGACAGGCTACTTCTAATCAATTTGCGATATTTGTTTTAAATAAGTGTTGTTTGATGATTTGCTGTTTTAAAAGAGTACCGAGAGTTTTTTACGCCGGCTTTTTCTCTCGGCCTACACCCTCTGTCTTCTTTGCCGATGAGTAGGGATGCCTTCAAATTTAATGACGTGGAATAAGTGATACATGTATCTTATGTTCCATAATAAACATATTTTATTTTATTTTTTATTTTTTTCGAATATTCATAAAATCTGTGCTATAAAAAAAATGGTATGTGCTATAAAATCAATGTATGTCAAAGAGGTTTAGAGCGAAGCATGTTAAACATAAAGAAAATGGACAAAATAAGACACACAAAGATAAGAGCCGTCACTAAAGTTACAAACGCTTTATCTATTGCTCAAAAACTGAAATGGCATTGGACTGGCCATGTAGCGAGAATGTCTAGCAGAAAGTGGACCAAACGAGTTACCCAATGGAAAGGCCCACCAGGCAAGAGGCGGAAAGGGAGACCCTTAGACCGCTGGGAAGATGATCTGAAAAGATCAACTGGCAAAAACTGGCACTCCATAGCACAGGACCGACAAAAATGGGCACCTTTGGAGGAGGCCTTTACCCAAACCGGGTATATCCCTTTATATATAAATATATTTACTAACATAATCTAAGCTAACCTACTAACAAAATCAATATTTTTGGTTACTGTAATATAGCAACTACCAACTATTGTAAAACAGGAAATAAAAAGGCTTATTGTTATAATAATGGTATGTGCCAGAGATATTTCTGCCCGTTCTTTTCCACTATAAGCAATGGGGATTAGCTTTCTGACACGCTTCGTCGATTTAGATAAGTCGGGTGTGATTGAGAAAGATTCTGAAGTGCAGTGGTGGACATGCGCCTCTCAACTTTTTCTTTTTCATCTGTCCTTTTTAGTATAGTTTTTTGTTCCTGTTTCAGTTTTGTGAAATAATTATATGTAATATCTATTTTTGCACTTCTTGCTAAGTTTATCTATCTTTTTCTTTCTCACAGTGGTTGCCTGGAAGAGATCGCTCGAAAGCGATAAGGCCGGCAGTTGTCCTCATTTTCATTTAATTATGTCAATTGCATTATATTTCCTTATGCAACGAAGTGTTAATAAATAAATAAATATATAAATAAACCATGACTCATATTTCTACGTGAATAATTGTGCTCTATGGTGGTGGCAACTGGCTGATCACCAAAATGCCTTTTCAGAAAGAAAAATAATCACGAAACTGATAGAGACATCTGAGGGCTTAGAGCCGAATTAGCGTCCATCAAGAAAAGAGCGTACCAATTCTTAAAAGGCCAGCAGCGCATTTGCGAGTCTTCTGGCAATGTGAGTGTCCATTGGCTGTATGGCATAGCATTTATCTTTTTTTTTCCGACAATAAAGTTCATAAAAAAGAGTGCGATTTTACATGAATAAAAAGCCTATACAATAAATATAGCTAATAAGTAATATTACTAATAAGTAATATTATGTTGACTTAATTTTCTACAATACTAGTGAATTGCTTAAACTAAGATAATGTTCATTAACAGTCCTAACAGGCGAGCCTCCTGCTCGTATGACCCCTGTTTAATAAAAAAAAGCCACAATCTGGAGGCAACACTATTGTTTTAGGATTCTGAGTCAAGACCTAGCGCTAAGTAACGCCTGTATGTGAAAGGCGAATTTGAAATACAACTCGCGCGTGCCTGTTTCGGCCATAAATCTTACCCTAAGACGCCGTTTCGCACGATGCTCAGACCGTAACAGACCGCGCATTAGGAAGAAAAATATATTGGTTCATAGCCTCGTTTTTCTTCTATTCATTTATCCATATACAATTCGAGTATACTACTACTATTGACAAACCTAAAACGAAAATAATGACGAATAGACAAACAACAGTTTATAACGAAATTCAAGGGATCGAGCATTTTTATTTGTTATAGAGAGGTTTCATTATAGGAAGGGAAGGATTAATGTATGAGTATTGGGTTAAACCCGTTATAACGAAGGA